TTTATTTTTAAATGAACTTTCCCAATTCTCATATAAGCTTATGTATTTATATGTGTAAAGAAATAGGGTATTTATTCAAGAACATAACTGTTATTTACATGTTATTAAATTAAATTTATATAAATTTTAAATGATTCATGTGGAAAAATAATCTGGAAATGAAATAAAATCTGTAAATATTGTTTTTTAAATAAAATTTTAGATTTTTTTTGCACATTATATTGACTATGTAACTGTATTAGAGCTATATATCTGTTCTAAATATAACTTTAATAATAAACTTAATGGGAAAACATTTGTATTAGCATGTATAGTGTGGTCTAAAAATTAGTTAACCAGCCTAAATTGCTGTATTATTCGAATACTTTATTACTTTAAAAACTGCATCAATAGGCCCTAAACAATATTCTAAGATAAAATCACAATTTACAGCTTATTTAGTTTTATGTATTTATCTTACTGTATACACAATAAATGTCTTTAAATTACAATTTAAATATATATTTGTTGTGAATTATTTGAAAAAATGATATAATTAATTATATGTTATTATAGAGTGGTTGCTTACTTGAAAATCTTTCCATCATTTAAGATAAGGTGGGCTTATGAAAACTATTAACAAGCAGCTTAATGGATAGATAATAGCTAATAAATAGAACGAAATTTAATAAAATTATATAGTAGTTTGTCGCAAATGGAGTAAAGGAATAGAATTTCAAAAAGTATGCTGATACACGAATGTCCAACTGTCATTTATAAAAGTGATTAATACCATTCATGTCATCATAGCTATGTCACTTGCTTATGATTAATGAGTGATTATTAGGTACTATATTCATACCACGTTTTTCATTATAACCCAAGGCAATTCAATTAATAATTTTGTTTCATCTTATTTAAATTTTCTGTAATCTTGACATGGTAATTTTGAAATGCAAAAGATACAATAGTTTATGCATATTTTATAGTAGCCTATTCATAAGGTCAAATTCATTTTATATGTAACATTGCATATGTTTATTATATAAATTATATAAAATATCATAAATTATGTGTTTCACGCTATGCATAATTATTAATTTTAAATAAAATACAAAAGAGTGTAGTAGGACTGTATATTGCAAGTAACCCACGCTAATGGATGTGATAACATTGGTCCTATTTACTAAAATGATAAACTATTGTAGGTTACACCTGTTTAATCCAATAATAAACTTTCTTGATGAACAATTTTTATGGATAAAGGGATGTACCTTAATTAAATATATAAAAAATAATGGTATAAATTGTTTAAATCAATTAATCATTTGTTTTAACATCATTGAAAATATTCTTTTCTTATATATATTTTTAAATGAGAGGGTAAATTTATTTTAAATATGACTTTTCTAGTATATTGATGCGGTTTCATTCTATTAATCAACTTATATCCTGTACACACACCTCACTTATGGCATGAAATGAGACAAATTTAGAAGAGAAAAATGTGACAAATTGTTTTTTCTTTCTCCCATATCTTCAAATTGCTCCGTTTCTCTCTCTTTCTTCTAACATTATACTTAAAGGTGAATGAAAAATGGCAAAAAAATCACAGGCTGGCTTTTATGAAATAGAAACGTTTTAAGTTCCCACGTCCTTGGAGATTTTTTGACTAATGGATAAATTTTGTAAATTTTTATCCCAGTTCCTTAGGATGCCAGATGTTACCTAACAGTATACTAACTTTTCTTCTGTCCTATGTATAAATTTACTAAAAATTAATTGATTTACATTAGTGTAAACTATGTTAAGAAGGGAATGTGATATGGATCATATGGATGTTTATCCAATTTAACCATCAAATTCATTTATAATTCTGAAGCTAAATATAATTTAGATTAATTATATTTATTTACAGAATACATCATATTTTACATTAAATTACAAAATTAAGATTTTTGGGATGTTCCTTAGGATGTTCACACACCTTTATATTGTTCTATGTATAAATGTATTTAAAATTAGATTAGAATAAACTATATTAACGAAGTTCTTAAGAAAGGAGCCCAATAGACTTTTCTCATATAAAAATATAAATTAAATTATGTTCTAGAGTAATTTATATGCCGTTCTGAAGCTATATTTACGTATTACCTCTCATATTTTACAGTAAAATTTTTAAATGTGTAGTCTACTGTTACATACATTAAGACATAATTAAAATACGTGTATGTATATTAAATATAATTTAACCTAGATAAATAAATTTCTAGTTATTAAGAAACCTCAACAATATATCAAAATATTATGTTTAAGTTAATTACTTAATTAACCTTTGTATTTTTTTTACAAGTTTCTTTAGAGAGGACGAGTATTTTTTAAGTTAGTAAACAACCTTATAAGGTTATTTTATATGAAAGAACTCAATATTTTGAAGAGATAGAAGAGACTCAATTTACAATATAGATCTTCGAATACTATGAAGAGAAGTTTCCACGAACGGAGAGGTAATCTAATCACAGGGTTCAACAAGAGCCAGTAAACCATTGGCCACTAAAGACCTACTATATCATCAAACTGCCTTCTCAGTTTAAAAGACGACCTCCCCGTCACATATATTAGAAAATCCAATTAACAGGAAACACCCGATATTTTTAGTGGTACCTAAAACTTAAAGCTTTAACGACATCATCCATTACTTATATCCACCCCTGTTTATGTAACATCCCAGCACCTTAGGCATTAGCTATTAGTGTTGCTCTGCACTTCTGAGACTGAGCAAATATTTAAAAACTTGTCTAATGACCGTAAAATATACTTTAAAAAAAAATTCTTAATTTGTCTTTAGTTGTAAGAAATGTAATTGTTTGCTCAATGGTTTTTCTTGTGTCGATCTCGTGATGATATTGATTTTTATATAATTAATTCGTTCGCTGGTGTTTTTAATACGTGATAAAATCGTAATTAAATTAAAATGATGTTCGAAGACATCATTTAAATTTATTTGATGAAAATTTAAATGCAATCATGCAAATTGATTAAGTTATTTTTAATGTAAACGAACCCTCGAAAGAGGGAGAAAGGTTTTAAAATCTACAGTTCTGTTTAAATTTATTATAATTTATAACTCAATACAGAGTTACAAATATGTTTATAAAGAAGAAATATTGTATAAAAATAATATTTTTTTATACAATTATGTAACAAAATCAGTAGAAAACATCAATTCATTGTCAAATCCATTGCAAAAACCCCTGATTGTACTGTAGGTTTAGAAAAGCCTACAGTTTAGAGATTTTTTTTACAATGATATTTTGTGTGAAAATATTAGAAAAATTATCTTTGTGACTAAGAACAGAGTTATGCTATAATAAGAGGCTGAATGACAGCATTTATATATATTACATTTTGTTCATAAAATCTAGTTTTTATCATATAATTTTAACTACTTTATACAACAGCATAGGAATATTTTTAATTCTGAATAAATTAACATTTATCCATAAATTTCATATAGTTTATTGATTAAGTTGCTATAAAAATATGGGAACATTTTAAATATTTTAGAACTTTCTTGAGTTTCGTCTTAAAAATATCAAAATTTAACATTAACTAGCCTAAGGGATAGTTCAAATTTTGTAAGTAACCTGTTTCTAGAAGTACCTTCATGTAATATTTAATATGTTTTTTTAAAGTAGAAATTACATGTTTTATATAATTTAAATGCTAATTCTAAGCTTGTAAGCTTAATTTTTTATGTAGTTTATTCATTAAAACTTAACTAAACTACTAATAACTTATTATTTATTAAACTTTTATTATCTTGATACTATTTTAAAATAAGATTAAACCAATTTGAAATATTCAAAAATGCTAAATATATATTTTTTATATAGCTTAAATGTGTTTTTAATCCTCCACAACAGAATTAAAACTGATTCTTCTCCTAATTTCTCATAAAAACATTAAATCCTTCTCATAGAAAACTTTAAATCTTTAGCAAAATAACTTATAAATCAAGAAATTTTGAATAAGAATTAACATCAAATTATCCTAGTTAACCTAGAAAAATTCTTTTCTAGAATATTTAAAAGATTATATTAAAATTCTTCAATAGAAAAAGCTAGAAAATTTCTATATAAAATATATAAATTTGAATATTATAAATACTGATAGGAACTTTTGCGATAATTGTACCGACAAAATTAAAGGTTTGCTGACACTAGTCAAGCTTGACAATATATTTAGTGCATACAAACCACCTCACACGTGTGTATATACGTAAATGGACAGCGCACGGGGGTGATTAATAGGTATAGGAAAAATGGACTTTAATTTTTCCTTAACTATCCTTGGGTTAAGAAAGGGCGCGTCAAGTCGACCAAAGTGCCACATAAAATACAATGCAGTGTCGCTTTTTATATTCAAAATCCTTCACATATTTAGCATTTAAGAGTAAATGGAGCTGTAAAACTTCTAACATAATTAAGTTTAATGTGAAAGAAAAAGTCTTTTGTTTCTTCAAAATTCTCGCATTTCATATAAATTATTTCTTAAATTAGAATTAATTTCCCTTTCTTTAATCCGAATTTATTGTTTAAACAATTCCCTCCCCCCTGTCAATTTTTAGTTTGAAGGTATTTTATACGTTACTAATAATATTAGTGATATCAGCTTCCTTAAATTTGCCTGTTACTGGTGATGATGGGTTTTTAAAACTTACGTAAGGCTTTAAAAATTCACTCATTACTATAAGGCTTTTGAAGTTAGGCGAGGAGTAAGCTTTTAAAGCTTGTAACCTTTAAAAGCCTACTCAACTCTAGTAATTATTACATTTATAGCCTTTAAAATAGACAAAAACTAGTTTAAATTGTTTTCAAGACAATTCGAGCAGTTTGATGGTTAAAAAGTTTAATTTAAACTGACAAAATACAATAGCTTATAATTAAAATCGAATTAATGGAATGTTAAGTTATAATTAATTTATAAAAATAATAATTATTTATTTAAATAGAAAGAATATTACGAGGAAATTACGCAAGTTAACGTCTCATACAATATAGTATTTGGGGTAATCGTTCAATGTACCCAAAACTAGGCACAGAGTGGGAAATCATACTTATTAACAAACGCTGCGCGCTAATAGACCTACTTTTGACTTTAAAACTTGATCTTTAACAAGGGATAAAAGGAGAACAAGCGAGATTAGTGACGAAAAAAACAAAGAAAAAGAATAAAAAAAAAACACTCCTTTATGATTAATGAAGCTTCCTTCTGGCAATGTTAATGTATTTATTATAGATAAAAGCGGTCATCTTTCTATAGAATTACACTTAAAAACTACATTTATTTCTCATTAAAGAGAATAGAAAGGTAGCTTAAACATTCTTAATCGACATTTATATAAGAATAGACTTAAGTTTAATTATAATTAATTTAATTTCTTTAAAAATTAATGATAAAACTAATTAAATATTATGCAAATATTAAGTGTTATCATAGAAAAATAATAGTAATAAAAAAGAAAAAAGATAAAATGCCTGTTCTTCTTATAACTAATTAATTATAATACGGAACTAGTTTTTTGTACAAGTTTCTGCCTAGAGAAACTAGAAATCATTAATTTTATATTTAAACAGTTTTTATCCATTATCAGTACAGTATATTAAATATATTTAAAATTGTTTAGAATAGGATATAGATTTTTTTCACAATTATTTTACAGTTTAATTACTTTCTAGCTATTGTTTATCATTATTCATACACTACACATTTAGAGTATTTTATTTATTTATTTTTTTAAATCTTTATTCTAGAAGATTACATTCAATTATTTTAATTATTTGATTATCTTAATATTTATCTTTAAGTTTTATCATCTTTGACCACGTTGCCGCTTTATATATTACTATTATTTAAAGTAATTTTGTAATTTTCTACCATAATGAAACGTTAATAACCCTGTATTATTTGATAATTAAGCTACATTATTTATAAATATTTTAATATAGTCATTTTGCAATTATCTTCTCACATCTTAGATCTCTAAAAGTAAGGCTTTAAAGCCTTATTTGCTAGCCTTACTAGTGATTGGTGGACTCTTAAAACCTTAAATTACAGGCTTCAAAACTTACTGGCCTTGTGAACTTTTAATAATGATTACTGTATTTTAAAGCCTTATGAACTTTGATGCCTTACTTACTAGTTTACTAGTGACTAGTGGACTTTTAAAATCTTGCTAGCCTTAATAGTAATTAGTGGCTCTTAAAGCCTTACTTGAGGGCTTGAATTGCCTCATCATCTAACTTAAATGCTTTATTAAACCTTCAAAAACCTTACCTCTTAGTGTTATTAGTGATGTAGGCTTTTAAAGCCATACTTAAAAGGCTTACTCATTACAATTGACAGGCAAATTTAAGGAAGCTGAAATCATCAGCGATATAAATAGTTATATATTAAATAACTTCAATCTAAAAATGAATAGTTTCCTATTCATTCTTATTCATTCTGTTTTCCATATGTAACAAGTTAGTTCTATATTAAAATCTTTAAACAATCCCATTAAGGGTTTAATTTTATAACCAAAATAAACATTTTTTTTTCCTAAGAGGAAACCAATTTGTCGCCCTTTTTATGAAGGTATAAAACCAACCTTAAAAACATTAACCTGTTACTAAATGTAGTTATTATGCTTATTAATAACGTAATATAAAATGAAAGCATTATGAATGATAGGAACTTATTAAAATTCATACCAATGTCTAACCAAGTACACGTGTACAGTCTTATATATGATAAGTAAATCCGGTATTCTATATCTGAGAGATTTGATCTGAGTAAATACAGGCTAAAGCTTGTACCTTTCATTTCTCCTTCATGTTTTTTGACTTGTTACACAACTAGATAAAAGGGGGGAAAAATTCAAAAAAAAAATTATACTTTATAAATGAAAAGTTACTTTAGACTATTTAAACTTTTATTTATTCATTTTATCTCTTGAAATAATTTATTTTCTAATATAATTAGACGTATTAAAATAATGTTTAATGATGTACTAAATTGATATCGATACTACATGTTACCACGAATAGAGTATATAATATGTCCTATTTATGTGTGTTTTTAATGTTATTTCGTATGATTAGTTACCGTTTTGACATTAAAAATATAGTAAATATTTTCTAAGTTAGACATTTGGTTCTACAAAAAAAAAAAGGTGACCAATTTAAAGAGGTGTTCTTGATAGAGGAAAGGGAAAATTATAACTTACATAAAAACTTCTGTAGGTAATTTTAATTACGTATTAATGACAAGTTTACTTAATACAGTGTTTTAGAACATCATGTTATGCTTTCCTTGCCGCACTAAATGACATTTAAAGTGATAAATTTTATCATTTTTTTTAAATCATACTATAGATATTATGTATATTATTATACATATAAATTATTATACTATAGATGCACATCAGTTACAATTAAGAGTTCAATTTCTGTACTGTGTTGTTTTCAAATGGTTAAGAGTATAACTTTATATACAACCCTCTAAAGTTGGACATTCTAGTAACAAGGAATGTCAGTTTTGAAGATGTCCAACTATCGGAGGTTTTACTGTGTATTGAAAATGGAAACCCTCGTTAGAGGTGTTTGAGAGTGACCAACTTCAAGAATTTTACCGGATAAGAATTGTTGACGGTTCCAATTAAAAGAGTTCAACTTTATATACAGTAAAGTCTCTGAAGTTTGACACCACTGTAGAAGTTTCACTGTATACAAGAACTGTATAAATTCCACAAAAGATTAAAGACACAACGCAATAGATCAACAGTTGTTTAAAGATTCCCAAATCAAGTTTTTGAACCGACGTCATTAAAATTCTACACATTTATACAAGACACATTGTCTGTCATTATAAAAGCTATACCCATCTTCACTAACTTACAAATGTTAAAGTTAAACAATATGGCGTGGGTGCATCTTTTTGACAACATTAATCCATCAGTTGTATGTAAAGTTCTATCTTTCGGTTAGAAATTATACATAAATATATCATTAAGATTCACTTAGGATTACATAAATAACATTTTTAAAACTTTCCTGATACGTCTTACGAATTTTTACATTATATTTTTATGTTTTTATACACCTTTAAATTTGGAAATTTTATAACCATGTTTACATTTCTTTTCAGGTGAATAATGTCACATTTGAATTTACATATTTATAGAAAAAGAAAGTTTAAAAAGTCATATAGTAACAATGATATGTTTATACAAAGTTTAAAGGTATGGATATGCTTTTTAAGAACTTTTTTTTTATAATTGAGAATAATAAAAAATATATAAATTATATAAAAAGTTGCTCTTGCTTACTTAATATGAAATTAAATTAAGGTTTGACTGGATATAAAGTATTTTATTACAATTTTATTTTTAAAAATGAAAGCAAAAATGTTTTCAGGGGAAAATGTTTGAATTGAAATAACACGACTTTCGGTTTGCATCGGAAGTGCATGTATAGTTAATTGGGGCCTCCTGCCTCAAACTTTCCATATATGGTTTTGGCTTTCATCTATCTAATTTCGTTCTCGAGATTAAGGAAAGACAGACAGACGGATGGTTGGACTACGGTGGGAGTTTATAGATTCAAATTGCAGCCCAATAAGACTTTAAGTAAACTAGAATTCAAAGAAAATATCCTAGTATATAAGGTAAGATCTATGTGGATTCTCTTGAAGATGAGGATAAATTGCATGAAATTTAATAATAATTTTTTAAATATAAAATGGCGTTTGATTATTACTTTTCATCTCTGGAGTGTTATAAAATATAAAATATGAGTAATTTCTCCTAAAAGTTAAATTTAAATTCGTTTAAATCGACTGAAAGTGGAAGTTTAAAGGTTGTTCCTCTAATAATTTAGCCATTGAATCTGTTGGAAGATCTGAAAATGAAAATGGTTTCTTGTATCGAATGATTTGAAGATTTTTTGGCGATTTCATTTTATTTTATTTTTTAAATTCACAAGTAAATATATTCGTAATTATAATTTAAAATAGATTTAATTACCTTTAAACTTAATTGATATAAAAGTAATTAAATATATTAAATTTTATATAACATGTCGGGATTTAATGATCAATTTAGTTTATAGAATAATTAACATTCTCGTCTAATGTTATTAAGTTCTAGTTAATTTTTCATGAATTATGGATAAACTAAAGATCTAAACAGGTTAAAAAAAAAGGAATTTTAACCTTCTTGAACTTCAGAAAGAACAGTATTACGCTGTTCTTAACGTACTTTTGCTTCGGTATTGGAGAGTCACGTAGCAGGAAGTATGCAAAAAAGGGAGGGAAAAAATAAAATTTTCTTTAAAAATTATACAGAATTTACTTCTAAGTTCATTCATTTAATATCCTGATAAATTTTAATCAATTTTTTTTTCTGTTTTTTTTTATGTAAAGTAAATTGACAGATCTTGATAAACTTGCTTATTGCAAACTGTAACATATATTAAGTTATATGCAATTTAAATTGAGCATTAAACTAAATTTCGTATAATTAAATTAATGTTTTAATTTAAATTTCTTTAAATTCTAATTAAATTCTTGTTTTCTGAATACTTTACATGATCTTTTTCATATAAACTTGAGTTATTATTTATAAAACATGCATTTTTTTTAATGTGTATGCTATGCATCTTAACTGCATATTGCATAGATTCTTAATTGTATGGGTTCTACTTTAAACGGTAACGAAGAAAATTCTTTATAAATTACATAAATTTGATTAAAAAATGATTATTTTTTAATCAAATAAGTTCAATTGTAATTAATAATAATGTTGAATGCTTAATAATACTCAAGACCAAGAGTCAATTGACCTTCTTTTACTGAATTTAGAATTACTTTATATTGGTGGGAACATCTGAAAATTTTGATTAAGTATTTCAATAATACAGAAATTTATTTTTTCAATGGTTAATTTACTTTCGGGCCATCCTGTATATCTACACAATGGCGAATACGAGTCTATGAAAGAGAAAATATACAGAGTGGATCAAAAATTAGTTAACCCTGTTGAGTTAACAATACTAATCGTAAACTAAGCTTATTTTTTCTTGTTTTTTTTCTGTTAAATAATTGTTGTAAACACAATAAGAAAGTGTTTAAATATTTTAATAAGTCAGCAATGTATTTTTTACAGTGGTTAACTGACTTTTCGTTCGTACTGCACTGTCAACGTTCAATTACATATCTTGTCATCGCAATTAAAAATATTAATAAAACCAAATTAAATTCCTTAAATTTCATTAAATTAAACTAAATTTAATACTTTTTATTAAGGAAATTTCTTATTTAATCTAGCATAATTTTATATACACGAATGTAATTTAGTTGTCTAGTGTATGGATGCAATTATTGCAGATTATTAAACAGTGAAAGCCAGGATGAAATTAATTAAATCGAATATGATAACGGAATAGAAATTCTTTAATTTACCTTTATTTTTATTTGTTTTCTATTCTGGAATAGATGTAGAAGACCCGAGGCTATATGAGAGTTCAATGCCATTTTGGTCCTATATATCTTGTGGAAGAGCCGCTTACTTCCTGCCACTTACTTAAAGGTTGACACTAGTAGTTGACGGATGAGAGTAAAATTATATTGGTCCAATCGATCGAAACTTTCTACGAACTTAATACCAATGGTAATTGTCGAAATTTCTCAACAAGAGAGCTTGGAATTTAATTAATAGTTTAAAATAAATTATATAGAACATCTACAACGTGGCTGAGTTGAATCCTTAACTAATTAAATGGTCAAAGAAAGTTGAAAAATTCATTTTTTTTTCTAAATTCTTTGATTTTTCTATTTAGTTAAATATCTTCACTTTTTAAAAAATCAATTTTTAACGTGTAAATATGTTAAATTGGAATATTTAGAAGTAATAATTCAAGTTTATTAATGAAAATCTAGAATTTCCTTTTTTTTTTTACTGTTAGCTCTTAAAAATTAAGAACAAAATTTGCTTGAATTTTATATTATTATTATTATTAAAGATTTTTAAATCAATTTGTTAAATTGTAAAAATTTAAGTCGTTAAGGATCATTTACAAGGGTGATTTCTCTCTATGTTAAGATTGATTTTTACAATGAATTTTTATAATTAGTTATGTAATTATTAAATAAAATAATCTGTCAAATCTTCTACAACTGAAAAAAGTCGAAAAAATTCTTATTGAAAAACCTTATTTAATCAAGAAATGTTAAGAACTAGTACACTAACTAATTCAGCCTTATTCTATAAAGTAATTAAAGCAATTATGTTAAATTTTTTTTAATATTTTAAATATTAATTGCTCTTGAGATCTATAAATGAATTGGATTCAAAACAACCCATTTAGGAATTAGCCAGCAACTTTTCGAAGATGTTTACATGAACCAGAAACAGTGAATTCATAAGAAATTTGGTTCTGTAAACATCTATAATTGCAAGAATTTAAACTTTTTAACTAATTTTCTTCTCTCTAATTTAATTGAATTTAAAAGTAAACAGCTTTTACTTTCAGTTAAATATTTTTATTTTAAGTTCTAATTTCTAGAAATTTTTTAAACAAATCTTTCTTCAAAACTTTAATTCATTATCTGAATATGTTTTCAGTTTTTAAGAGAAATCTTTTAATGATCGAATCATTATCTGTGATTTAAATTAATTAAAAACATTTATTAAACATTAATAAAATAATTAAACGGTGAGATTCTGCTTTCAAGCAAAAAACTTGAAAAGTTATAAGCAATTATAGATAAGCAGTCTTCATTTTAAAGATCATACTGATCACTTGATCACAGTATAAACAGTTAATTGATCATACTGATCAATCAATTAAATAAAAAATAAATTCAGTGTAATCGTGACTTACCTTAAGCTATTAAAACTCTAGTTAATAAAATAATTGAATAATGAAATTGAAGTAAACTGTATTTATAATGTAAACAATTAATTGATCTATAATCGATCAGTAGAGATTGATTTATTCTTTTAGTCTACAGGCTAATTTGAGATTGATTGATCAGTATGATTATCATTACTTACAATGAATCTTAAACCATTAAAACCTTAATTAACAGTTATAAAAACAATGATCATTTTTATGAGGGTATTAATTTTTATTCAATATTGTGATCATCAGGGTGATGATATAATCTTTGTTCCTTTTTTAACCACCAAGATGATAAGCTACGTTAACATTTGGATGAATCTAAAAATTAATAAATTCAAGATATATTTTCTATATAAAATTCTAGAGATTATAATCCTGTTTATTACCATTCTCATGAATCTATCAATAACATGTCATTAACATAGTTTAAATATTAAACTAAGACATATTTCATTGCTGTTAAATGTATTTTTATGTTACATATTGTGTTATAAATTCCTAATTTTGTTCTGCTCTAATTTTTTAATATGTGTATCAATTAAAGAAAATCAGAGCAGAACATTAACAGAATTAATTTCTATATTTCTAAGGAATTTTTATGAAAATAAAGCAGATTTTTTTTTTCATTAAAATTATTTAGATTTAACTAACTNAAGTGCGATAAAAGTTTCTTAAATATTAATTATAATCGATTTATTACTCCAGTTAATTTATCAAAGGTATTATGCAAATAAAGTATTTTAATTACTGCAATTTCCATTTTTTCTTCTTCTCTCTTCTATAGGTTATAATGAGTGTAGAAAAATAGGTTTTCAACTACAACGACAACTGGTTCTGATGTTATTGGGTGATTTACAGTGTGACCAGTCTCATAGACAATTACTACCATATTTACAGCCATAATAACATACGGTGACTGTTCTGTGTGATTACAGAGAAAGGGGGCCCTTCGTGACTCCTATTAATTTGTGCCGTTCTTCACCCTATAATTATGGCAGCCGACCGAGATCCTTTAAACGCATAACAGTAGGCTATACCCGACTCACATTCTTTCTTAAAATTGTGTTAAAGTAGGCTGTAACTTCAACCATTTTTGCATGACTTACAATATCCCCATCTGTAACAAGATGTTTACTTCACTAATGTAATTATTTAATGATTACGCTTCAAGTTTTGGCACTAAGTTTAAATTTATGCCTTACGTAATGCCTTTTTCCTTTATAAAATGCAATAATTTATATATATTTAGACTTTTAAATCATTATATTAATTAAATTCTAAGTGACGTTTGAGGTGGTTTATACAACAAAGCTGATTTTGCAAATCTATTTTAAGCTATAAAATAATTATTGAAAGCTTAGATAAGATACATATAAATGGTTTTAATTAATTTGAGTAATGTATTTCTGTGAATAAGTTTACTGTTCTTTTTCTTTTCGTGTCCTACTGAGTATATGTTATTATATATTAATAATTCCTGTTTAACTCTTGTTTAAAAAACTATTTGAAGTTATTACACGAAGATTTCATGAAATGTAAAATTCATGGACCATTAATTAATTTTTCATTCCTGAAATCTCACAGTTTGCATTCATGAACACATGAAATATCACAGTTTGCATTGATGAAATCTCACTGAAATCGCACGATTTAAATTAGTGAAATCTCACATTTTTCATTTGCAAAGTTCCTCTTTTTGTATCCATAAAATTTCACATAGAATCGCATATCAGTCGACCCCCCTATAACACCGTTGATTTTTCCGTTTTATATGAATTCCATATTGTACGAGTCACTTAGATTTTACAGATACGTGTGCCGGGCTGTGAACTGCTCACGTATTTGTAAAATTCAAGTGACTCGTACAACATGGAATTCATATAAAATGGAAAAATCAACAGTATTATAGGGGGTCGACTGTATTTTTACATCCACGAAATAACTTTCATAAATATAAAATGCGAGCTCTCACGACACTCATAACTTCTGATTCATTATTCCAATGAAAACTTATAACTAAGATATTTAATTTCAATTATAAACAATGAATCCTCTTCTATAAATTATAAATCTTATTTTATTTTTTTAAATTTTCTATTATTAAAAAGAAGAATCTCTACAGTAAAAAGTAGCTTTAGAAGTAGCTCTTGATGTGACTGATGTAGTGTATTAGAAAAAGAGTGGAAGAGGAAAATGTAGAAGTAGCTTTTCATGACAGAATAACATTATTTAATTTATAATAATAAAAATACTACTTTATGATAAAGTTTTAAACTCGGCGTATTGTTGACATTTTAATAGCCCTAAGATTAGGTATTGAAGAGGACAGATGAAGATGGAATACCAGTCAGATACAGGGCCTGATAATTCACCCTCAGGCTTTAACAACCCTTTAAGTCACGTGTTCGGAACAGGAACAAAGATCAATTATATTAAATTATCATTGCAATTTCTCACAAGTGGCCTTATAATTACCTTGGAAGAGCCGCATTGTAATAATAACTAACGGTTCCTTTTGAACTGTTCTTTTTACAAATGTTAATTTATGCATTTCGCCCTTCTTACGTTATTATTTTTTTTTAAAAGTATTTATTTATTAAAGCTGACTAATAATATGTTGACAATTTAAAAGTATTCAGTTTAGCCTTTTAGAGATAAGATTTAGGGAAAAAAGGGGTACTTAATTATACGTCATAACTGTCAATATTAATAAGTAATTTATTATCCTAATTTGAAGAACGTCGACTTAATAGTCTGCAATTATACTTTACGTACTTTAATGGGTTATTTAGGATTGTATATCTTGTAAAATACATAACTCTGATTTATAATAATGTATTATTTTTTTTATCCCGGTTTCATTTTTTTTTAAACTTAAGCACATGTTGGGTGTTCACGCGCTGAACAATCTCCCTTCGTATTTTATAAATTAAACCGGAAATGAGCGACGTAATTGGAAGTGTTTATAGATTTTAACAACGTAAAGCGTTGAAAATCGTTGGAAAAAAACGAAATTGCATTTTATTTTTCTAACTTACTGTTTAATTTTTCAGGTTTTAGATGAGATAGGATGAAAAAGGACCACACCTTAAAAAAACTAAAAATAGAATGACCACAAGGGGTCAATAAACCTAATTCAAGCTTCAGGTGAGTAGGCTCTTACACCTAGACCAACCTGTTTATTTTTAAATAACGATATATATACTATATGTTAATTACAGATAAAAATGATCATAATTTTGTGAAAGACATCATAAAAATGATTTATAGTGAAGATGTGTGGTCCTGATTGAGAAATTTTATATAAAGTCAAATGACATTTATAGAGGAAAGAAGGTAATGGAGCCATTAAAGCGACATTAGAAACACTATATAAATGATTCATTTTAATTATTAATATTTTATTTTGTTGCTATTGATAATTGATAGGTTATTTTTGAATCGATTAAATTATTACTTTTCATAGTTTTTATGGTGATAAACTCGTTTCTATACAGCTATAATTAAGAATGTCTTCCTTCTGACGCTTCATTGATTGTATATATTTTTTAAAAAAAACATTAAAATAATAACAAATTATTGTTGAAACGGTTTTTTTTGTTGCACCTGACTTCGTGTTTGCTGAACAACTGTAAACAAGATTCTGTACTGATTTTTATTTGTAATTGATTTAAAAGGCTGTTCGCTCTTTACTTGTTCTCTACTTCTTCCCCCCTTCTCGCAGTCGTAGGAATTTGTTTTAATTAAATATTTTAAGCTTCTTGAAGTTAAAAATAGTATTTAAAAAGTAACCTGTTGCGACTTTTCTAACTAGTTTAAGTGATTCTAACTTGTTAAATTGCTTAAATTATGGTGGAATTTTATTTGATACTGTTTTTTTCATATATAATGACGTTTTATGGCTGGCTTATACTGTATAATTGTAAAATTTCCTAACATTCTTATTTTTTTATGGTCAATTCAGTGTTTTAATTGAATTTAAGCAATATATTTTTTTGTAAAATTATATAATCTAATAGCCCATTGATGTTTAAATTATTGTATTATAGAACTTTATATTTATTTTAATATTGTTTAGATAGAGTTGGAATCCTGCCGAGAAGATTATTAAGGTCCCAACATAGACAAACCTCAAAATTTAGTGTCTTTTATGTAAAAAAAAAAGATTAAAAGTTGCTTCTATAAGTGGTGAAAAATACATTTTTATACCCCGACTACACGAGAAGGCAACAGGGCCACAACACAGAGAGAGTCCCAAAATCTAGTAATTTATCTTAAAAAAATGTACGAAAGTGATATAAAGTTTCTTCTGATATGTGGTGAAAAACCTGTTTTATTGATTTTTTTCATATATTTATGGCTTTCGGATAGGATTGAGGTACCACAAGTGACTAGCCAAGGCCCTAAATCGCTTTTGTCAGCCCCTAATTGTGACCACCCACCTATCTACTGATGTTTACATTAATAAGCTTACTAAAGAAAAAATATTATAGGGTACTTTTACAAATTGCATCGACTTTGACTGTAGATATAAGCTTTATTAGGCATTAAATCAAGCATAAAATTCGTACATTAAGTAGACATATCGTAAAAACTAGAATTCAGATAAGATTATCTGCAGTTAATATCAATCAAGGTTATAAAATTTAAATAAAAAAAGATACATAACATACATAAATGGACATCGAGGAAAATATTCACTTAGATATTTTATTTTTGAAAGATAATCATAATTTAGCATTTAAAATATTACAAAATATAACTTATTCTAGTGAAAAAATACATATATATGCTGTTATTTATTATTGTTGGGATTTATACAGGAGGATACTTGAATAGCCTGCAGCATGGTTAACACGTCTTTTTAAAACCAACTGGATGAGTTACAAGAATTTGATGATTTATGAATACAAGGTTCTTTAACCCTTCGCATATTATGGTTAGAAATCCGGTTAGAAAAATAATATTGAATTCTATCACTATATCCGATATTTTATATGTTTATTTTCTCTATAATTTTTGTTTTCTTCTAGAGATTTAGCAGCAGCATCCTCGATTTCCGTAATGGAAATCTATCCTTCCCAGTTTACGTAGGAATCTATGCCAAACTATATCTCATAGCTTAGAACAAATATAATTATTTTTTAATCTAAAAAAACGCTTTTTATTCGTATAATTATTGTTAAAGAATTGTCTTTAGTACGGTTTAAAATTAGGACTTATGAAACCGGCAGTCGACTTTAGTTAATGAATTTACGGATCAATTTTTCAGCCAATTACTTTATTCGGGTTAATCCCCTCTTCAGTTTAATCCCGTTTGATTTTTAGCATTCGGTTTACCAGTGATCCACGCTAAACGATTAAAACCACAAGGGAGTAAATTTTCTCACAAATAGGCCTATAAACATTATGGCCGACATAAACAACTTACATTTAAGTATGAGCTTATGTTGACCATGAATGTTTTTAATACAGTGTATCTTTATATATTCCTCTTGAAGTAAGTTGTAGTTAAAAAAAGTTCTCTCTTTCTGGTCTATACAAAAATTTCAAGTAAATTGTGTTTGATTTAATGGTGCAAGGATTTTGTGCCATTAAACCAAATTTCTATTAATTTTAATGTATTATTAAATAATAAAATAATCCAAAAAATCGAAGAATCATTTTAGGGGAATACTCTATTATAAAGAAATTAAATAAATATTAATAAATGAAATTACGTTCAGGAATATAAGAAAAAAATAATTTATTTTAAATGTAAATTGCTTAAATAAAGCGCTTTATTCCTAAATTTATTATCTATTTGCAGGTGAAGAAATTTAAATTACAATCGAAAGAGATTTAGATGATAAATATTGATTTCTTTTTCTAGTTTTCGTAAAGCTTTTAAACTAAGTTTATGAATTTAACAAGAAAATTGCTTTATCTCTACGATAAAATTGAAATAAAAAGTTGTTAAAATTTTTTTTCTATAAATTTTGCATCAAAAATTCATACAAAAATGTAAACTCGATTATTCAAGGGACTGTTTTATATTTGAAAAAAAGTATTAAGTTTCAGTGTACACTTTTTAAATAGATAAAATTTAAGCTTAAAACTGTCAATAAATCTATAATTTCTTATCACATAAACACACGTCTTCATTATCATAACTTTAAAATGCATTTAATATCTGATTATTAAAACAGATTTTAAAATATTATATAATAAATAAAGATAAACATTGTATTAACTTCGGTATTTCTATTAGGGGTTTACTATTTCACAAGTAATTAGAAGCACTAATCCTGTTTAGATTGAAAGCATGATTGATAATTAATTGACAATTTAAATTTGTACAGATGAATAATTGTGAGTTATAGAAGGAGTGTCATTGTAAAGATAGATCAATGTTTAGTGTAACATCTCTTTTTTGGTTCTGCAAAATTACTTTCACAACAGACTTCATTATTTCTTGACACTCAGAGGCGTGGGTGTAGCACCTGCTTCTTCCACCTTATTAAGTTCACTTCTAGCACAGCTAAACGCCCACCTCTCTAGTTTCTCCTCTCTCACAGCACACTAACAAAATGATTTGCTCTAAACATTCCTCTTAAATAATTTAAGACCTCATAAATCTCTCCTTTAAATGTATTTTTTTTCCTTTTAAATTTACATTAAAGCGTACAATCTTTAAAATGACTTTTACATTTTCTCAATGTGTTTTTTTTTAATTTTTTCTTTATTTAAAAAAAAGGAGTGGATGAAAAATTATGTTTTAAGCGAATGATAACGTTAAATATTATAAGAGAGTTCATAAAATGAGAATGTGTTTCTGGACATGTGTAATTTTCATTTTGCTGAAGAGATTACGGGCGGTTACTTCCTTTCTTATAACGATTTTTTCTTGTTTTTATTGTTAAATTCTAAAACGACTGATGTCGGTAGATTGTTTTTAAAATAAATTTACTGCTTTATCTTTAATAAAATGTATTTTCTTATGAGGAAACTATAGAAAAATACATTTTAACTCTTCGTACGTGATGCTGCAAACTGTCACGTTCTTTCATCTATTGTAGAAGAACGAATTTAAATGATTTATTTTAAAATTGTCTTTCTTCTAATGCTGATTTTTATAATATATAGTTTATAGAAATTTATAAACAGGAGTCTTTAGAGTTTAATAGCGTACGGTCTATCTTAATGGACATTAAGACAGTTGGGCGGAGTTGTATTTGTTTAACTATTAACACCCTCTTCTGTTCTGTCTATATAAAATGAGTATCTAAAGTTCATATTTTAAGTTTGGCTCAACTAGAAATGCTCATTGATGTCCAAAAATTCGCTCGAGGCTACTAAAATGACAAATCTATCCCGGGATGGTAGAAAAAAGGGAGAGGAAGCTAGGTTCCATAGCATGAAAAACGATGGATGAACCTATAATTACAACTATTATTACACTTATTACAAGTAATTTTGATCATTAAGACAGGATCAACATAATTACGTGTAAAATAGGCTTGGCACCGATTGTTAAATGACGGGTATCGCCTCTTCAGGGAGATATTAAGTGCGTTATCATCTCGCATGTGCTACCCTCCTAATAGCAGAAGATGGCCTAATCGTCCTGATTTGTAATTAAGAGTAATTTTCAGATAAGAAATATTTGACTTACATATAGATTCCAGATGGAAGATTGTTGAGATTGGCCAAACAATTTCATTAAGATGTGTCATTTCTGTTGATAACCTTCCACCTTTTGTTTATTATTATTTTAATTGATATAACCGATGTTCGTTTAATTACCCACTCTTCTACATCGTTGAGTGTATAGTTCTTGAAGAGTGTAGGCTGTTAATATAGGCCTATATCTGTGATGGATTTAAGTTAAATTGTGAAGTTCGTACCTTTTTTTTTGTATAGATATGCTTTTACAGTCGATCCCCCCTGTAACACTGTTGATTATTCCGTTTTATATGAATTCCATGTTGTACAAGTCACTTAGATTTTACAAATACGTGCGCCGGGCTGTGAATGGCTCACGTATTTGTAAAATCTAAGTGACTCGTACAACTTGGAATTCATATAAAACGGAATAATCAACAGTGTTATAGAGGGGTCGACTGTATTTGTTAGGATTTCGTGGTTGAATTTAATTAGAAATTTATACATAGTCGTAGAATTTTTAAAGAATTAACTTATATTAAACTAGGAATAACTTTTAAGAACTTATCTGTAGGATCGTGAGTCTCTTCTAGTGTTGATTAATAAACTCATAAAAATTCATTATTTAAGTTTGAAAACAATACATTTAATTGTATTTAGAAGAATTAACTGATTTAATATTGCCAAAATTG